GGAAGATCCAGGATGGAGAGAAGACAGCCCACTTTGGAGCTGGGCAGCTGGGTGTGATTCTTAGCCACTTGTTTTCTGGCCAAGTTGTTTAACTAGTGCCCTCACTAGTAAAGCAGAGCCAATTATATCTATTGAGAATTACATGGAATATCTGTCTTGACCCAACTCATCAGTATTACATTCATAATCAGTATTACATTTATAATCTTACCATTATTACATTCATAATTAGGTTTAGAATTGAAGCTTTGTACCCCATTAGAGACATTTTCATTATTTATTAAAGCCTCAACTTATAGTCTAGTGTAAAATTTTCTAGTGAAAGAGAATGCAAATTTTTTCAGATGATACATGGATTTGCCCAGTGGATCACTCAGTAATGATTCATTAAAGCCCTTACATGTTAAATATGTTAAATATTCCCCCAGACTCTAGTGATACAAGGATGAGCAGAACATACTGTCTTTTCAGGAAAGCACTATCTACATAGGTCTTAGGAAAGACTGAGATTTTAGCCCTCTATAGTATAGTCTTTGGCCAGCTCTCATTTGCCTTGGTAGCAAAAGGTAGTCTGTTTACCCTCCCATGGCATTGAACTAATGAGTAGTCAAGAAGTCCACTCTGTGCTGCACATCAGAATTCTACTGGAAAAGTTAAAGCATATCAAAATGGAAATTTTAGTTAATTCTGGTCTCACATCCTTGCTATTTGAGAAGATTGCATAGTAGTCAAAAAATCTGCTGGTGCTTCTTGTCAGGATGCCCCCTTAACTGACGGGCTGATGAAGCAGAACTGTTACTACTCACCACTGGTCAATTTTATACCTAGTTTTAGTCATTTTCATTTCCTTTTTCCTTTAATTCTCATTATACCAAAAAAAATTTAATATTTTTTAGTTGTTGATGGACTTTTTATTTTATTTATTAATCTTATGTGGTGCTGAGAATCAAACCCAGTATCTTACACATGTTAGGCAAGCATTCGACCATTGAGCCACAACCCCAGCCCCATAATACCAAATTTAACTACATATCTGGTCTCAGTGCTATCTCCTGGTGGTTTTTGGTTGGTTGTGTCTCTCAGTGGCTTCCCATGGTGATCCAACCCAGCACCGTTTGTCCTCCAACCCCACTATTTCAGCCCACGTTTTTCTATCTCATATCTTTCAACAAAATCAGTCCCATTTATAGTTATGTGAAAAGTATTAGGGCTAAAATCTAGTTTCATTTGTAAAGAAGAAATTTAAGATTATGTACATGCATTTCACCAATAATAAAAAGTCTTAATTAATTACTTTTTCCCCTCTTTTTAATCTCTCTCAAGAAATCATTCTCTTTATTAACTCCTGGAATTCATTCTTCAGTGAATTTTTTTAAATAAATATTGCATTTCTTCTATGTCCTGTAGTTATATCTTTCTGATATATTTCTCAACTAGACCCTGCAATTTTACATAACATTTATTGCCACATCATTCATATAACTGACTTATGATTTCTAATTACAAGACAGCACACAGAGCATGAAGATCTGAGGCAATTATCTGGATGAGTTAGGCTCATTTTACTGGAAAGTGCGTAGGGCTTGAGGCCCATATAGGGGACCCATCCTTGTCACTTAGTGCACACTTGATCTCCAACAGGTCACATGAGTGTCTAGGCCTCGATTTTATCTTCTGGAAGATAAAAGTTACGGAACAGGATTGACGGACGTTAACCACAGCTTTTCAACAAACAACCCCAAAGCCAAGTGGCTTAAATCAACTATTTTATTTTGCTCACTTGAGGTAGGATGAGGGAACATCCCAGCTCAGAGGGTTGTTTCTGATGTGCATGGCATCAGGTAAAATGCTAGTGCTAGATTCCACTTCCAGGAACATGCCTGTGCCCTCTGGCTCCTTGGTGCACTCACTTACTGTCTCATCCTGCCCCCTCTCCCCTCTCCACCACCCCCTGTCTACATAGGGTCTCATCCTCTAAGGCCTTTCCTTGTACCTGGGATTTCTCCAGTGTGGTTTACTGAGAGTAGTCACATGTTTTTACATGATAGCTGACTTCTAATAAGCAAAAGGTACCAGGCTAGGAAAGGGCTATACCCGAGACTGACAGACACAGTATCACCTCAATTGTGTTTTGTTGTCCAAAACAGTTATAGGACTCACCCAGATTCAAGGCTGGAGAGCAAGACTCCACTCTTGATGAGGAAATGGAAAGGTCACATTACAGATGAGAATGTGGGGTGTGTCCCTAAGTGTTTGGCTCTCTGCATAAAAAAGCATGTGTGTAGATATATGGTCATTAAAGAATTGTACATTTTATTAATATAAAGGATGTGTCACACACAATTTATAATTGTGCTAGTTTTTAAGTTCCATATCCTAGTTGATTTTCTCAGAATGCTTTTATTGGTTTTTGCCAAACTCTTAGAACAATAGGCAACCTACTATTGCAAGTGAGGACTTTGTCTTATATATCTTTGAGTCTTCTTCAGTGACATCTTCTTGAACTCTAGTATTTAGAGTATCTAGAAATTTTAAATGAACATTTGCAGGAGTCTCTGCCCCTATTCAAATGAAAATACTTCCTTTCAAAGAAGAACTTCTTTTACATGTGCATTGTGACTGGGAATGGAGCATCTTCAGTTTTTCCAACTTCTGGTTCTAGGAATCAATTTTTCTATAAATGAAAATGAAGGCATTATAAGTCACAGTCACAAACCCAGATAATTTATTTATGAATGCCTCACAATAATGACATTATTGATAGCTTTATAGTATACAAAGTACTTCCAGATATGTCCTTGAATTAGTACTCATAATATTGTGAGGAATTCTCATTTGAATTTTCCAGGTGAATGTCATAGTGTTTTCTATCACTATAACAAAATACCTGAGGCAATATCTTATAAAGAGAAAAGGTTTATTTTGTCTCACGGTTCTGGAGGCTCTAGTTCAAGATCAAGTGACTCCATGGATATGGGCCTCTGGTGGGGGCGCTAGATGGCAATGGAGAATACTATATGGTGGAGCAAACCACTTACATCATGAACCTGAAAATCAAAGAGAACACAGGCCAGATTCTTCAGAGGCATAACACCAGTGATCTAAGTACCTCCCATAAGGACCTGCCTCCTAAAGGTCCCAAGCATCTCCCAATAGCATTACCCTAAAGAAAAAACCTTTAACACATGGACCTTTGGGGAACACTTATTCAAGCTGCAGCGATGAGAAAACTGTGGCTTGGGAGCAGAGTGACACCCCAAGGGCCACACTGCTATTGAAGGAGCAGCCAGGTCTAGAATCCATGTCTTCTGACTTCAAGCGTGAAGCTTCTCACATCCTCTAGTAAGACCTCACATTTGGAGAAGAAATTTACAGTGAACATTGGCAGGATTCTCTGCCCCTCTTCAAATTAATATACTTTCTTTCAAAGAAGAATTTCCCCTAGATGTGAATTGTGAATGATATGGGGCATCTTCAGCTTTGCCAGCTTCTGGTTCTGAATCAGTTTTTATAGGCAGTGAGAAAAACAGCCGTGTCTGAGAGGACACAGGCCCACAAACATTTCTCTGCTTGCTTTAGCTCTTCCAGAAATCAGTAGTGTGAATTATTACCACCGTTTCCACACCCAGATTCCCCATAGAGACTACAGGGGCTGAGGAATGTATTTGGGGAGAAGAGAGGTCTGTGTCAACAGGATTTACACAGAACACTGGAAGGCACATGGGCGGGAAAGCTTGTGGATTTCACTGTGATCCGTGGGGGGAGAGGGCCCTCCAGGCTTTCTTCTGTCTTCTCCCTCTTCTAAAATTCATTATTTTCCAACCACAAAACAGATTTTCTTATCTCTCAGCAAAATCACTCTCTGTGATTTATATTGTCACTCTGTGTTTTGACTGAAGAGTCCATTTTTTGCCTAGAGGTTTCAGGGGTGTTTTATTAGTACTTTAAAAAAAAATGAATAAGACATTCTTCGTAGAAAAAATGAGGAAATAAAAATAAGCAAAAACTTGAAACCCAAAATCATGCGCCATCCAGTCACTGTTCGTTAACGGATAAACTAAAGTTAACATTTTGACGACTGTCTCAGCTTTTTGCTCTGAATGGCATAAGCATCTCTTTGTACACCAAAGTTTACATGGCACAGGTTATGTGTTCTTTAAATAGTAATGCATCTGATTTGATATTTTCCTTGAGTTGCTTTGCCCACTGTGCTGAAATTTCAAGTTCTGTTTATCTAAACTTTCAATATTAAAGAATAAATAGCAACTGCCTTCCCAGTAGCTCTGTGGCAGCTCGTCAAAACTGTTATTGTGGGCGGTAATAAGTGCAGAACTTTCATAGGAATCTGATACTATTTCTCAGAAAAATCTCATGCCCAGCACTTTCTTGTGGTCGTCGAGGTGGGGGATATTCTGTATGCTGGGCCATGAGTCTAGCCAAGGCTCCCCTCCCCACCCCCGTTGTCAAAGACACTTGAAGAGGTCAGTCCTGATTTTAGTTTGGATTTACACCTTAAATATCCCTCATCTGAAAGGCTTGGGACCAGAAGTTTCTCTGGTTGGGGAATTTTTTCCTATTTTGGAATATTTCCATACATATAACGAGATATGATGGAGACGGAGCCCAAGTCTAAACACAAAATTCACTTATGTTTCTTCTACACCAAGCCTCAAGGTCTCTTTCTCCAATATCGTTACTGCACTTGCCTTTTGCGATGATCACATGAGGTCAGATGTGGAATTTCCCACTTGTGGCATGGTGTGGGCACTCCAAAGCTTTCAGATTTTTCATATTTCTAATTTCAGATTTTCATATTAGGGATGCTTGACCCATAATGTGATATTACAATTATTATTCTACCTTTACCTCATGGGAATTAGGAATCCCTTTGTCCTGGCCATTCCTTAAGAGGATGTCTGTTTCATTGATGCTATATAGACTTGGAGAAATATGGGACCCAAGTAATAAGTGTACTTGCCTATTTTTTTTCTCCTGTTTAGGCAGCCATAAGGAAAGAACTAAATGAATTTAAAAGCACAGAAATGGAAGTACATGAAGAGAGTCGACAGTTTACAAGGTAAGTAGTCAAAATGCAGTGTAGCATGCTGAAGATACTTAAGATGGCAAATTTTATGTTAGGTCTATTTTAATCACAAATAAAAATTTTAAATAGTTTTAGCATAAAATCTTCTCATGAAGATTTCTGCTTCTCCCACATTCATCCTTGTTTGCTTTCACTGGTGACCTAACAGTCAGTATGTCAGTTTTGAAGATATGATAAGATTATGAATAACACTGTAACTAACCAGGCTGAATAAGAATTTCTAAAATTAAATATTTCTTTTCCTTTCAAAGAAGTCTGAATCATTCCTAAGGGCTACATTTTGGTTCCCTTTTTAGTTTCATTTTCTGGGCCAGAAAACAAGTGTCAACAGTGTTCATTCTGCTTCGGCTTTTAAAGTTCTATGCCCAGAACAGATGCTGGTGACAGTCAGTGTGGGCACATATGTGTCACCTTGGGCTCACAGTAGACATAATTTAGGATAGAAACTGAATTTTCAAATGATACAGCTTAGCATGGTAATCCAGTTTTTCTGGAACCACAGAAGACTGTTAGGTTAGATTCCCATTATTTTTTTTTATTTTTTAATTGATTTTTTAAAATAAATGACAATAGAATGCATTATAATTTTTATTACACATATACAGCACAATTTTTCATATCTCTGGTTGTATATAAATTATGTTCACACCAATTCGTGTCTTCATACATGTACTTTGGATAATGATGTCCATCACATTCTACTATCCTTGTTAACCCCTTGCCCCCTTCCTTTTTCTCCCACTCCTCTGCCTTATCTAAAATTCATCTAATCCTCCCATGCTCCCCCTCCCTACCCCACTATGAATCAGCCTCCTTATATCAGAGAAAACATTCGGCATTTGTTTTTTTGGGATTGGCTAACTTCACTTAGCATTATCTTCTCCAATGCCATCAGTTTACCTGCAAATGCCATGAGTTTATTCTCTTTTATTGCTGAGTAATATTCCATTGTGTATATATGCCACATTTTTTTATCCATTCATCTACTGAAGGGCATCTAGGTTGGTTCCACAGTTTAGCTATAGTGAATTGTGCTGCTATAAACATTGATGTGGCTGTGTCCCTGTAGTATGCTGCTTTTAAGCCCTTTGAGTATAGACTGAGGAGAGGGATAGCTGGGTCAAATAGTGGTTCCATTCCCAGTTTTCCAAGGAATCTCCATACTGCTTTCCATATTGGTTGCACCAATTTGCAATCCCACCGGTAATGGATGAGTGTACCTTTTTCCCCACATCCTCGCCAACACTTATTGTTGTTTGTCTTCATAATAGCTGCCCTTCTGACTGGAGTGAGATGAAATCTTATAGTGGTTTTGATTTGCGTTTCTCTAATTGCTGGAGATGATGAACATTTTTTCATATATTTGTTGACTGATTGTATATCATCTTCTGGGAAGTGTCTGTTCAGGTCCTTGGCCCATTTATTGATTGGGTTATTTGTTTGTTTGTTTGTTTGTTTGTTTTGGGTGCTCAGCTTTTTGAGTTCTTTATATGAGATAACAATTTAAAAAGAGAAAAGGTTGATTTTGACCCACAGTTTTGGATGTGTGAACCCATGATTTGTTGGCCCTGTTGCTTTTGAGCCTGTAGAGAGACAGCATATCATGGTGGCAGCAAGTGTCAAAACCATTCACCTCTTTGCTGGGGAGCAGAAAGAGACAGGAAGAGACTAGAGTCCTACAACCCCCTGAATGGCATGCCTTCAATGACTGGAAGACCTACCCCAAGACCCACCTCTTAAACTTTCCACCACCTCCTAATAGGGCCAAGCTGAGTACTAAGCCTTTAATACACAGGCCTTTGGAGGACACCTGAGATCCAGACAGTAGCAACTATAATCCTACTCTTTCTCCTCCCAGTACCCTTCAGTTTCACGGACTACTAACACTAGAGTGGACCAACATGAGTGACCATATTATCTGATGCCCACTCACCACAAGTGTCCTGTTTATTTCTCTCTCTCAGCTGTGTGTGCTTTGCTCTCTATAACAGGTGTATTCCTAAAAACTTGCACAGAAATCAAATCTTTAAATTGAATTAAGGTTAAAAGATACCAGGACAGATGCTTACAGAAGGAAGACCATGTTCCGTCTTTTCAGAGAACACATGCTGCTGCTGTAGGTTAGAAACAGCCTCTGTAGGGCAGCCATACACCATGGTGCTCCTGTTCCTGCAGTGGTTCCTGTGGTGTGGGGGTAAAGGAAGCTTGGTGCTGGTAAGGGAAGTAGCAGTAGGAACTCGTTATTTAATAGCAAACTCCTTCCACGGAACTCGTGGTGGCCTCCATTATTATAGATGTCCTCCACAGCTGTTCCCCATACATTAGTCTCATGGACAGAAGAAACTCCCGTGTGTCTAAGGGACATTGCTTCTTTATTTGTTTGTTTCCTCTTATATCCTGTTTGGTTGTATCTGCACACAGGGACTTCTGCCATCTTGAAGTGTGGTTTTCCCTCTTTGAGGGCTCTCTCCTCTTATAATCTACCCTTGGACCAGTAACGGCCAGACTTACATTCTCCCTGCCACTTCTGGGGTCAGGAAAAGTTCATGCTAAAATGAGACACCTGAAGATGTACTTCTCAGTAAAGTTGATCATAAGAAAGGGTGGAATATTTTTGTGACACTGAGCTGGCTAGGGCCTCTGGGTAATTGGGAAAGGGCTTGTGCTGCGTCCCTCAAGACCTGACCCCTGGGCTGCAATGATTGCTCTCAGCCCACTCTTTGTCATTCAGAATGGTATCTAATGACCTTATTTTCATCTGATAGCATGATATGAGGAAAAATTACAGCAAAAGATAACCAAATTAAAAGAACAATGCATTTTTACAGATTTTTCATTTTATGAAAAGTAAATGTTTATTCTGAAAGAGGTTCCGCTCCTGTTCTGTTAAACACTGTGAACAAATATACCAGAAGTAGGATACCGGGAGAAGTCCAGTTCATTTGTTTTTTCTTTTTTATTTTTTGCATATATATATATATATATATATATATATATATATTTAGTTGTCAATGGACCTTTATTTTTATTTATTTATATGCGGTGCTGAGAATTGAGCCCAGTGCCTTACACGTGCTAGGCAAGTGCTCTGCCACTGAGCCACAACCCCAGCCCCTCATTTCTTCTTTAATATGTGTATTTTGATGTAGAAAAAGAATATATTAATTTAGGATTCAAATAGTACAAAATTTTATCATATAAAAATGAAACCCCCCTTGACTCCTTTCCCAGACTCACTTCCATTCCCCCCAGGGACGCTTGTACAGGTTTGAGGTACTATGTAGATGTTTCTATGTATCTACGTAAATAGTATATGTGTATGTACACACATGTGCTTACATGTATCCTCTCACACACAAACAGAGCATCTAGAAATTCCTTCCATATCAGTATATATCACACTCATTTGAATGACTCTGTGGCATCTCATAGATAATGTACAATAAATTATTGAACAGTTACATGATTGATGAATGTTTATGGAGTTTCCTTTTTTCTTTATCAAACACTGCTACCTTGATTTTGCACATATATTTCTGGGTACACATGCTAGTATTTATGTATTAGTCCCATTAATAGATTGACTAAGTCTCAGGATATTTTTCTTTCTTTCTTTCTTTCTTTTTAACATTTTTGAAAGATACTATTCTGTTATCTTCCTGACCCACAGTTGCTGAGCATGCCAAGCTGCTTACTCACCCTTGTCAGCATTTGGGGAGTGGTTGGGAGATTTATATTCTAAAGGATAAACAACAATGTTCTGTTTCATTGATTTCTATGAGATTGGGCATCTTTACTTATGTTTACTGAACATTTTATTTTTGATTTGCTTATTCAAAATGTTTGGCCAATTTGGGGGGATTGTCTTTTTTATGTGAATTAGTAAAATCCCCTTAGATATTATAGATATTGGCCCTTGGTTATATATGCCATGGTATTTTTCTCCAATCTGTTGTTAACCTTGAGAATTTTTAAATGATTTTTGTTTTAATTTTTGCATATTCATATCTTTCCTGTTACTTTTTACTTCATTGATTGCCTTGTGGAAGGAAACAAAGATTATAAAACCACTTGTTTCAACTTATTATGTGCTTTTTTATGTTTTGATTCAAGAGAGTAAACCAACTTTACTGTTTTCTGAGTCAATAATGTGTTGTTTCCATGCCATTAATCTCCCCCTGGATGTGAAATCCTTTTTTATAATGCGCACATTGGTCAATTTCTGAGTTTCTTATTATGTTCTGATGAGCTATTTGTCCATTTCTACTGTGTCACTCTGTTTAATGAGCATAGATTTGTAGTGTTTTTATAGCTGATGGGATATTTTTTTCACCTTCACAATCCTATTGGCTGCTGGGCTCAGTGGCACACATCTGTAATTCCAGTAGCTCGGGAAGCCGAGGCAGGAGGATTATGAGTTCAAAGCCAGCCTCAGCATCTTAATGAGGCCCTAAGCAACTTAGCAAGACCCTGACTCAAAATAAAAATAAAACCATCTGGGGATGTGGCTCAGTAGTTAAATGCCCCTGGGTTCAATCCCCAGTACCTAAATAAATAAATAAATAAATGTGTTGGCTACTTCACTATATTTACTCACTTAGGGAAATTTAGAATATGTTTGTTGTTAATAAAATAGACTGTTGACATCCTTAGTGTTTAAGCTAATATTAATAGATGTAAGTAGATAGGCTTTGGGGGGATAACAACTGATGTCAAAGGTAAACTTTAAAAGATTTCCAGAAAAAAATATTGATTAACACTCTTTAAAATGTCTTTCCAGATAAGGAAAAATTAAATATTCATATCACTAAAATAAATATGCCTTGCTTAAGTAGTCTTCAAAACTTGGCAGTAGAGCGAATGTCTACTGCTATTTTTCCATTAATTTATATGACATCATTAGAACTGCAATTTCCAGCCGGGAAATATTTCTGGCTTTAAAGACAAAAATCGTGCTTATTGTTTTCAAGTTG